CAAGCCCAAAGCCGGCGCCGACTAGCAGATTAGGTCTAGCCGCTTTTTCATACTTAGTGCATTATAAATACTTCTTTTTAGCCTTGTAACTCAAGAAGGAGAGAGACCACAATTATTTTACATCTTTAATAAAGTTTTGCTTGCTTTTACTTTGTTCTTGCTTGTTACTCTTTCTAGAGAGGATTCGAATCTCTGTTCTTATGAATATGAATTCGTGTTCCTTCTCTATGTCTGAGTAGTTTACTTGTTAAGTGATAGGAAGTCAAAGGATAGCATTCATGTATGCTTGATGATTGATCACAATTAGGGTTTTACTTATAATCTCCATCTTTGCTTATACTTAATGCTTGTTGTTAATCTGGCCAATTAGCATATGCTTTAGGTTGATTTGAGCCTCGACAGTGCTGTATCATTCGCCTGAACTAGTATTTGGTGGGCAACTCTTTTAGACTGCGAAAGTTGATTTACTTGTAGGTTGTGAACAATTGAACTTAATCGAACTAATGCTTGATTTAATCACCTAGGGACATACCAAAAGTTTAGCGACTAGGTAGATTAACAAAGGGGTCGGAGCCTCGACAGTGGAATGATCATACCATAGTGTTTCAAGTTCTAGATTAGCACCTAATGCAGTAACCCTAATTGATTGATTTCATTGCTTCATGAATTGCTTATCTCAAGACTATCCTATTGCTTAGCCCTTTCTCCTATTGATTTATTCTCTTTATTACTTGCATGCTTTACTTTCTCTGCACTCAACCAACTTATACTTTTGCCCTAGCTCGATCTCAATCTTATAGTTGTAGTGTGCAATCTGGTCCTCGTGTTCGATACCCGTTTACTACTTCTGACCTGTGCACTTGCAGAATCAGGGATAGGAAAGGGGAAGACCTGATCCCGCGATCAAGTTTTTGGCGCCGTTGCCGGGGACCAATTCGCACCTACAAGCTCTTGCAAGAGAGCTAGTCTAGGGTTTCTTTCTTTTCCTTTTTAGCTTTTTGTTATTTTTCCTTTTTCTTTTGATTTCGGTTTTTCCTTTTTGTTTTTAGCTTTTTCAGGTTTTCCTAGTTAGATATGGAGAAGGAGCACAAGCCTCTTCCTATAAAGGCGATCCAATTCGCCACATACCACCTCAAAGAACCTCTTGAGCGAACAAGAGATGTCAAGCCCTCAAGCACCACCACCTTCTTGGGATAGTCCTCCAAACTATCCCTTGAAGACAAAGAAGAAACTTCTTCCCTACCTTGAAGCAGCCGACCTGGAGACGTCTAGCCAAGCCGCATCACACCAAGAAGAACACCTTCTAGCCACACCAGAAGAGGAGATTGACCCTGAGCTGATCGAGTTCGTGAAGAGAGATCAATTCCATGATCTGTTTTCAGAGTATGCGCTGGAGCACATAGATCACTTTGACAATCTTGTGATTCCTATGGAGTTTTTGACTTTGAGAAGAAGATGATGCTATTCAGCACATCACTAGCTGGACCAGCACTAGATTGGGCGCAGCATGAGCCACTCTCTACAATCGAGTCATGGATCGATTTTAGAGAAGCTTTCTTGAAGAGATTTGCAAGGCTGCCACCTTTCAAATCCAAGTACAATCACTACTCTCATCAGCTGGAGAGAGAGCGTGAAGAAGAAGAATGGGGAGGCATACCACCCCATCCTGAAGTCTTGAATGAAGAGCTAATCAAGCATGTGGAGAGGAATCCTTTCTACAATTCTACTTCAGAGTGTGCAAAGGAGCATCTATGCACTTTGAGCAGCTTTGCCACTACTATGGACTTGGAGACAACCCCAAGAAGATACAACTTTTCCAACTATCACTAGCTGGACAAGCCAAAGAATGGGCTAAGTTCAATGCCCAACATGCTTTCAAGACTTGGAATGGATACAAAGGAAGCTTTCCTCACAGATTTGCAAAGGTCCGATTTATGTCACCACCACGCCCAAGCTATTCACAACACCATCCATCATCACCAGACATAAACAAGACACCACTTTTCCCAAGGGAGAGCTATCAAGCGCGCGCCAAACCAAGATTGAAGATATGCTTCAAGAGTACTTGAGAAATCAAGAAGAGAGTACAAAGAAGATGGAGAGGAGAATCGATTTCATCCATGAGAGCCTTGGAAACAAATCTGAAGTCCTATTCAAGCAAGTGATCAAGCTTGATGAAGACATTAAGAAGTTAAGAGAGGATCATGATCGATCTCTGACCCTAGTTAAGCTTGATGTTGCTGCCAAATATCAAGAGTTGCTGAACAAGAGCATGAGAATTGAAGATACTAGCTATGGCAATAGCAAGCACCTTGGATCAATCTACAACCGCCTACAAGCCCTTGAAGGATCATCTCTCCAAGTACAAGAGAGAGAGGAGTCCAACACCCAACCACCCTCCCTTTTATTGCAATGCCATCACAAGAAGAAGCACAATACTCAAGTCCATGAGGACAATGAAGAAGAAGAAAGAGAGTATGAGGAACAATTGAATGATGAAGATGAAGAGCAGAGCATCGACATCAATGCTTCTCCAAAACAGAGCATGGATACACCTAGCCCTAGAGACCCTCGTTTCTCACCACCAAGAAGTCAAGCTTCTACACTTCCAAGATTGGAAGCAATGCAAAGACCATCACCACCTACTGAAGAAGAAGATACTTGGCAGTATGATCCCATTGATCCCAACAAGATAAGCCCCATGAAGCTTAAAGAGTTCAATGCTAAGGTGAAATCACTTCCATTCTATGTCACTTTTGAAGAAGCTTGGGAAACATGGTCTAGTGGAGTTCTTTTTCACAACTAGTGAAAACAAAGAAGAGATACACCAACTTTCAGGAAGGCACGATTTCCCCTTGCCCCTCATGCAGTCAATCAACCACCATCACCACCATCATCACCACCACCCAAGTGGTATGTCAATTCCATATCAAGAGAGAAGCTTGCTGAGTTCAATCAGTTTGTCCAAACTCTTCCAGCCAGCATGTCTTTCCAAACAAGCTTGGCGCCACTACCCATTCACCACCTTCTTCCACAACTGCAAGAGAGACACCTGAGGACATCAAAGAGCTTTTTGAGAAAGCTAAAGTTCAGCCAACCTTCAAGACCCTCTACAAGATTGAAGACCCAGGTCAATTCTCTATTCCCTGTCAAGTAAATGGTCATTACTTTGATAGAACACTATGCGATTCTGGCTCTTGCATAAACCTCATGCCAACCCAAACCGCCAAACTCCTTGGCATCACACGCTTGCAACCTGCTCAAATTAGTATTGGACTTGCTAACCATACTATAGCCAAGCCAAGAGGAGTTGTTGTTGATGTTCTTCTAGAGATTGGAGATATCAAGATCCCGGTGGACTTTCATGTCATGAACATTCAAGGAGGATGTGACACACCATTGATACTAGGCCGACCCTTTTTGGCCACTGCTGGAGCTGTCATGGACCTTCCAAACAGGCGAATGTCCTTAGCCAATGTTGACAAGACAGTCTTTTACAAGACCATACCATTCATCTCACCAAACAAGCTGTCTTACCTCATCACTGCCCAAGGCCGCCCAAGAGAAGCCACCAGACCACACTCAAGGTCACAATGAGACAAGAACTAAAAGACTATGTCTCAGGCCGTGCCCTTACCCCATCTCCAACTAAGAGATCCTATCAGTCAAGCTAATGACTCAAAAGAAGCGCTGCATGGGAGGCAACCCATGAAAGGTGTTTTTCTTTACTTTTCTTTTCAATTAGTTTTAGTTAATGTCTAGTTTTGTTTTGAGTTTTGGATACAGGAATCTAAGAACCACACAATGGTAAAGAAGATATACCACAAAGAAGAATGTTCATAGTTGGCGCGACTTAGATGGCCGAGCAGAACCTCTCCACGCTCGCCCATGTCCTCTCAAGCCGCCCAACACACCATCCCATCTCATTCCATCTGCATCTCACCCATCCCACCTCACCACACTTGCATTCCATACACTACCATCATTCCACTGCATTCACCATTCTTCAAGTAACACCAAATCAGGTTACATCTTTCTTTTTACATTCACAACCACTTTATTACCTCTTTCTTTAACTCCCTTAATTGGATTTTCTTTCACCGGGACGGTGCAAGTTAAGTCTGGGGGGATTGTCGGTACTAATGTGTTTGTTCATGGTTGTTTTGATCTTATAATTGGTTTTTCCTAACCCACTTTTTCAAAACTTCTGTTTTATTGAGTCAAAACCAGTCCGGGAACAATGAACTTGCTTTGAGATTTGATAGTGTCATGCTAACAATCTATGACCCTAGAGCGACATCAGCTGAAGGCACAAGCCTAACAGAAGCTCCTAGAGTGGATCAATGCTAGCTCAGCGAAATTTCTAAGGTAACCAAGCAATCTAGAGTTAACCTCACCCTTAATCAATCTTAATAACTCTTGTCAAGGGGATTGGCATACATGTCGACAGTTCCTTGCTTGATTTTCAATGAGATTTGTCTAAAGAGTTCCCTCTCTCTCATCCCAAAGAAAGATGAGAAAAGCTCAAAGAGCACAAGGAAAACAAGTAAGCATGAGGAATGCATATGTCTGTACCTTCATGTCTTATGGAATACCTTATCAAACAAGGAACAAGCTAAAGACTTATCCTGTGGTTGAAGAAAGGTCAATAGAAAAAATAAAATGATACCCTAGAAAAGTAGGGAGAAATTGACCTTTCAAAGTTCTGATGTGAGAAAGAGAGAGGGGAACTGAATGCACTTCAAAGACAATCTTGGAGAAGATCAAGTGGGTAAGAACAAGTTCAATTGATCGATTTTCCCTTGATAAAGAACTCACGCTTTAAATTTCTGCAAGAGGTTAGCAATAGAGAGTTTGGATTGCTGGATGAGACTAGTTGGGTTGGTATGTTGCTAAACTTGCAGGGTGTATGTGAAGCTAACCTTATGTTGACTATGTTCTTAGTGGAATACAGGAAAGGAACCTTTCACAGGATTTTCAAAGAAGCAAGAGAGTTCCCACGTTTTTCAAAACCTCTTCACTAGTTTAGATTCTTTTTGCTTGGGGACAAGCAAAGATCTAAGTCTGGGGGAGTTGATATACCTCTATTTTACTACTTTTTATGCTATTTTACTATGGTTTTCTAATGGTTTTCTAGTGGATTCTTGTGTTAAAAGGTAGTTTTTATGGATTTATAGTGCAAAGAGTCATTTTAGGTAAAAAGGTGCATTATGGAGCAAAACAGAGGATTTGGACTCTAAACCAGTTCAATGCCCTGCATCAACTTTGGATGGAGCTAGAAAAAGATCTACTCAATGGATTTCATCAAGACCAGTTCCCTGCGTGCTCTGATTGAGTTAACTTTCCAACGCAACTGGAACGGCCTCATTTGGATGAGTAGAAAAGGAGTTATAGCCAAAAGAGTGAAGACTGCTCCAGACGGCTCTATCGAGAATCAGCGCCCGAACGCAGACGGCTGGCCGAGGAACGAATGTTCCGCGCTCGGCCAAAACCATCCGTCCTGTCTCGGCCAAAGTTCAACCGTCCGGCCGATCACATCACGACCCGGGAAACATGTCCCGCGGTCGGCCAAGTCACAACCACGCCGCGCACGACCATGCCGCGCGAGCCGGGAACAAGCCTCGCGGCCGCGCAACCTACTCGCGTACCACGGCCGATGCATCCGTCCGAGCCGGGAAGAACGTCCCACGTCCGGCCGAAACCATCGGCCAATCTTCACCCGGCCGACCCAAATCATCCGGCCACGACCGTTCCGACGGCCAGACCCGACTGTCCGGCCGACCGTCCCGACCGACCGTCCGAACGCCGCGGTCGACCCGAAGCCGTTTTTGAAGCCCAATCCGCACAATTCAAGCCCAAAGCCGGCGCCGACCTAGCTAGATTAGGTCTAGCCCTTTTCATACTTAGAGCATTATAAATACTTCTTTTTAGCCTTGTAACTCAAGAAGGAGAGAGACCACAATCTATTTTACATCTTTAATAAAGTTTTGCTTGCTTTTACTTTGTTCTTGCTTGTTCTCTTTCTAGAGAGGATTCGAATCTCTGTTCTTATGAATATGAATTCGTGTTCCTTCTCTATGTCTGAGTAGTTTACTTGTTAAGTGATAGGAAGTCAAAGGATAGCATTCATGTATGCTTGATGATTGATCACAATTAGGGTTTTACTTATAATCTCCATCTTTGCTTATACTTAATGCTTGTTGTTAATCTGGCCAATTAGCATATGCCTTTAGGTTGATTTGAGCCTCGACAGTGCTGTATCATTCGCCTGAACTAGTATTTGGTGGGCAATCTCTTTTAGACTGCGAAAGTTGATTTACTTGTAGGTTGTGAACAATTGAACTTAATCGAACTAATGCTTGATTTAATCACCTAGGGACATACCAAAAGTTTAGCGACTAGGTAGATTAACAAAGGGGTCGGAGCCTCGACAGTGGAATGATCATACCATAGTGTTTCAAGTTCTAGATTAGCACCTAATTGCAGTAACCCTAATTGATTGATTTCATGCTTCATGAATTGCTTATCTCAAGACTATCCTATTGCTTAGCCTTTCTCTCCTATTGATTTCATTCTCTTTATTACTTGCATGCTTTACTTTCTCTGCACTCAACCAACTTATACTTTTGCCCTAGCTCGATCTCAACTCATACTTGTAGTGTGCAATCTGGTCCTCGTGTTCGATACCCGTTTACTACTTCTGACCTGTGCACTTGCAGAATCAGGGATAGGAAAGGGGAAGACCTGATCCCGCGATCAGTTGCCTCCCATGCAGCGCTTGTTTTAAGTCTTTAGCTTGACTGTAAGGCTTGGCGCTCAGGAGAAGATGGAGACAAGAGGCATCTTGATCCTCCAAGTCTTTTCTCCTTGCAATGAGTATCTGGTGGGTGATTCACAGCTGGATAGACAATCTCTCCATGAATGTCCCTTGGCACTACTGCCTTAGGAAAAAGCTTTAGAGTTCTTGTCACTTTCTCCTTGAATCCTTCTAGATTCTCATCAATAAGCTCCTTTGGGAATAGAAGCTTCATGTTGCGGCCAGACCTAGGTTTTCTAACCTTCCTTCTTGGCTTGGCCTCATCTTCAATCTTGGTTGATCCCTTGGGCGGTTTTGGTGTAGGGGCCTTAGTCTTACTCCTTGCTTGTTTGGCAAGCTGCTTGGGCTTAGGAATGGGATCTTCCTTGATTGTTTCTTCAGTTTCTCCTTCTTGGGGTGGCTTCAAAGTAGCTTTCTCCTCTTGGACCATGTCAACAAAAGAGTTCTTTGTTGAACACATAGGGAAGAACATACCCTTGTTCACCTTGTTGAAAGAGATTCTTTGATTGGGGAAATCAAATATGGCACCCACAGTAGACAGGAAAGGGGTTCCAAATATGAGAGGTCTATGGCTACTCTCTCTCATTTCCACAATCTGGAAATCAGTAGGGATAGAGCAATTTCCAATCTGCACCATCACATTAGGCACAAAGCCATAGGGGTTTGTGAGAATGAATCAGCATAGTTGATGGAGATGGATGATGGCTCTATCTTGGTGAGGCCTATCTTGTCAGCTATCCTCTTAGACATGATGTTCACATTGGCTCCTGTGTCACACAAAGATTGCTCAAGAATGTTACCTTTGATGATACAAGGCACAACAAACTTTCCTGAGTTATCTGTCTTGGGGATAATCTTTGGGAAGAGTCTTCTCTTTCTAGCTCGATTGGACTCTCTCTCTGGGTAATTCTCTTCAGGCCAAATCATGCAATCAACAGTAGGTTTTGAAAGCATCCATTCTGGAACTTGGTCTTCAAATCTTTCTTCTATGGCGGCTGAGTTGCAAAAGGACTTCTTGGATTCAGCTTCCTGTCTCTTAACAGCTTCCATAGTTTGAGTGACTTGAGTCTCTAGTTTCTTCACATGAGTGGCAACAGCATCATACTTGGTGTTGAGATTGCTGAACAAAGTGTCCATCTTCTCATACATCTCTTTAGTGTTTCTCTTCTGGCCATCCATGATCTGTTGGAGGATTCCTTCAAATCTCCCACCTTGTTGGTTTGGAGGAGCTTGATTTGGTGAAGAAGCATATGGCTCCTTGGGCGGATATGATGATCTCTGCTCATATCCTTGCCTTGGCTGAAATTGACTTCCTTGAGATTGGTAAGGAGGTCTTTGTTGTTGTGGATACCTTGGAGGATACACTTGGTCTTGAGGATTCTCCACATTGGGGTTTCTATAAGACATGTTGGGGTTTGGGCGATAGCTTGGATTGTATCCCTTGTTCCCATAGTTTCCAATGTAGTTCACATCTTCTTCATTGGCTTCATTAGAGAAATCTCCCATGCATTCTCTTGATGGGTCTTCATTAGCATCACTCATCCCTTCTATTGCATTGATATGCTTGAGCTGTCCCTTAAGAACTTGAGCCATCATGTTCTTGAGTTCAGTCATTTGAAAAGAATCAGGGGAGCTAGTAGTGGTGCGGCTTGAGCGGTCATAATCAGGACAGTTGTTACAATCACTAGCTGCAAGATTCTCAATAAGAACCTTAGCTTCATCAACAGTCTTGGTCATGAAGTTTCCATTGCTTGCAGTGTCCAATGAAAGCTTGTACTTGTGGTCTATGCCACGATAGAAGATGTTCCATAGGTTTCCCTCATTGAAACCATGATTAGGGCAGTCCCTAATGTACTCCTTGAATCGATCTAGCGCCTCATAGAAAGATTCATTGTTGGCTTGGCGAAAGTGGAGATCTTGTTCCTTACAGAAATTGATCTTGCTTGGTGTAGAAGTGGTTGATGAATGCAGCCTTGTACTCATCCCAAGTGGTAATGGAGTGAGCTGGCAGAGACTTCAACCATCTTGAAGCTTTGTCGCCAAGAGAGAATGAAAAGAGCTTGCACTTAAGGTAGTCAGCAGAGACTCCATTGGATCTTGTAGTGCTGCAAATTTCTTCAAAGTTTTCTATGTGATCAAGAGGATGCTCAGCTGGAAGTCCATTGAATTGGTTCTGTCTAACCAATGCTATGATCTGAGGCTTGATCTCATAGTCATTCCTTGCAGGAAGTGGTGGATGGATAGGGTTTCTATCCATGAAGAAAGCATCGGCAGAGTCATAGTCTCCGATTGTAGGTGCTCCAGCTTGGGGTTGTGCATTCACATCTCCAGCAGTCTTGTGGATTAGGAGGAGGAGGAGGTGGATCTCTTCCTTCTTCTTGAGCGCGCGCCACTTCAGCGGCGTGAGCGCGAGCTGCTTCGTCGGCCATCTCTTGGGCTTTTGCTTCCTAAGTTGCTTCTCAAGCTTGTCTATCTCTGGATGTTCAACTAGGTTGTCCTTGTTGGACCTCCTAGTCATGCACCTGAAAAGATTTGATATACCTCTATTTTACACTTTTTATACTGTTTTAGTATTGTTTTCTAATGGTTTTTGGCAGGTTTTCTATCTAAAAAGGTAGTTTTACTGTGTTTATAGTGTCTAGAGTCTAAACAGGTGAAATGATGCATTTTGGAGCAAAACCATAGGATTTGCACTTCAAGCCGCTCCATGCACAAGCACCAACTTTAAGAGGGCCCAGAAAAAGATCTACTCAATGGATTTCATCAAGACCAGTTCCCTGCGTGCTCTGATTGAGTTAACTTTCCAACGCAACTGGAATGGCCTCATTTGGATGAGTAGAAAAGGAGTTACAACCAAAAGAGTGAAGACTGTCCAGACGGCTCTATCGAGAAAGCGCCCAACCGCGCAGTCCGGCTGGCCGAGAAACGAATGTTTCGCGCTCGGCCAAATCATCCGTCCGTCTGAAGTCTCGGCCAAAGTTCCAAACCTCCGGCCGATCACATCACGACCCGGGAAACATGTCCCGCGGTCGGCCAAGCCACGCCACTCACGCCATGCCGCGCACGACCAGCCGCGCGAGCCGGGAACAAGCCTCGCGGCCGCGCAACCTTCTCGCGTACCACGGCCGATGCGCCGTCCGAGCCGGGAAGACGTCCCACGTCCGGCCGAGAACATCGGCCAATCTTCACCGTCCGACCACAGCGGCCGACCACGAATCCGTCCGGCCACGACCGTTCCGACTCGGCCATGACCCGATCATCCGGCCGATCGTCCCGACCGACCGTCCCAACGCCGCGGTCGACCCGAAGCCCGTTTTGAAGCCCGATTTCATATTTTCAAGCCCGGCTTAACCCTAAGCCGCCTCTAAAAGACCTAGCACTATATATATAGCTTTTTAGCCTCTTGTGAAAAGAGAGCCGCCCTTGTATTTCGATTTCCTACTCTAAGTTTTATTGCAATCATGTTTTCTTCATCTCTATGTGTGTTTGCTTTGATCATGTCTGAGTAATCCACTAGTTAGGTTGCTAGGGTTACTATTCAATGAGTTGCTTGCATGATCTTTGATTTCAATGATTAGCTAGGGATTATATTAGAGTCTTTGTCTCGTCTTGTGCACTTAACTAATGCTGATTGCTTTACCGCGCATCTAGTAATCCGATCTTAGGTTGATTTGAGCCTCGACAGTGTTGTATCATTCGCCGGACATATTCTTTGACAAGCTAGGTTTCTTAGACTGCGAAAGTTGATCTATCTATATCTAGTGAACTGTATCAGAACCTATTCATTCTAAAGCTTGATTTAATCACCTAGGGACATACCAAAAGTTTAGCGACTAGGTAGATTAACAAAGGAGCCGGAGCCTCGAAAGTGGAATGGTTTTATATTCGTGATCTGTGTTCTAGACGGTTCTTAATATCCCAACATCCCTAATCAATTCATCTATCATTGTTTCATTGATCATTGCTTGCTTCTCTGCGATAGCCCCTATGACCTAGCGCTTTTCCTTTATTGATTTACAACCTCGTTATACTTGCTAGTTCGGTTCACCATTACAACCTCAAACCATACTTTTGTTTTAGCTTGATCCAAAATCCATAGTTTCAAAGTGTACTCAATAGCCAGTCCTTGTGTTCGATACCCATACTTCCGCGATCTGTGCACTTGCAGAGGTCTAGGAGTTTGGTAAAACCTGACTCAACATCAAGTTTTTGGCGCCGTTGCCGGGGACTGCAGCAGTACCTTTGGCTCGACTAGGATCTAGTCTAGAACCTTTCCCTGTTTTACTTGCTTTTGCTTTTGAATTTTCAGTTTTTGATTTCTTTTTCTTTGATTTTTGCTTTTGCATTTGTTTTTCCCTTTTGATTTAGTTTGTTTCCTAGACTCTTTTCAGGTGCATGACTAGGAGGTCCAACAAGGACAACCTAGTTGAACATCCAGATATAGACAAGCTCGAGAAGTTAATTAGGAAGCAAAAAGCCCAAGAGATGGCCGACGAAGCAGCTCGCGCTCACGCCGCTGAAGTGGCGCGCGCTAATGAAGGAGAGATCCTCCTCCTCCTAATCCACAAGATCCTGCTGGAGATGTGAATGTGCAACCTCAAGCAGGCATCCAAACAATCGGAGATTATGACTCTGCCGATGCTTTCTTCACGGATAGAAACCCTATCCATCCACCACTTCCTGCAAGGAATGACTATGAGATCAAGCCTCAGATCATAGCATTGGTTAGACAGAACCAATTCAATGGCCTTCCAGCCGAGCATCCTCTTGATCACATAGAAAACTTTGAAGAGATCTGCAGCACTACTAGATCCAATGGAGTCTCAGCTGACTACTTGAAGTGCAAGCTCTTTTCATTCTCTCTTGGCGACAAAGCTTCAAGATGGTTGAAGTCTCTGCCAGCTCACTCCATTACCACTTGGGATGAGTACAAGGCCGCTTTCATCAACCACTTCTACACCAAGTGATCGCGGATCAGGTCTTCCCTTTCCTATCCCTGATTCTGCAAGTGCACAGGTCAGAAGTAGTAAACGGGTATCGAACACGAGGACCAGATTGCACACTACAAGCTATGAGTTGAGATCGAGCTAGGGCAAAAGTATAAGTTGGTTGAGTGCAGAGAAAGTAAAGCATGCAAGTAATAAAGAATGAAATCAATAGGAGAAAGGGCTAAGCAATAGGATAGTCTTAAGATAAGCAATTCAAGAAGCATGAAATCAATCAATTAGGGTTACTGCAATTAGGTGCTAATCTAGAACTTGAAACACTATGGTATGATCATTCCACTGTCGAGGCTCCGACCCCTTTGTTAATCTACCTAGTCGCTAAACTTTTGGTATGTCCCTAGGTGATTAAATCAAGCATTAGTTCGATTAAGTTCAATTGTTCACAACCTACAAGTAGATCAACTTTCGCAGTCTAAAAGAGATTGCCCACCAAATACTAGTTCAGGCGAATGATACAGCACTGTCGAGGCTCAAATCAACCTAAAGGCATATGCTAATTGGCCAGATTAACAACAAGCATTAAGTATAAGCAAAGATGGAGATTATAAGTAAAACCCTAATTGTGATCAATCATCAAGCATACATGAATGCTATCCTTTGACTTCCTATCACTTAACAAGTAAACTACTCAGACATAGAGAAGGAACACGAATTCATATTCATAAGAACAGAGATTCGAATCCTCTCTAGAAAGAGTAACAAGCAAGAACAAAGTAAAAGCAAGCAAAACTTTATTAAAGATGTAAATATAATTGTGGTCTCTCTCCTTCTTGAGTTACAAGGCTAAAAAGAAGTATTTATAATGCACTAAGTATGAAAAAGCGGCTAGACCTAATCTAGCTAGGTCGGCGCCGGCTTTGGGCTTGAATTGTGCGGATTGGGCTTCAAAAACGGCTTCGGGTCGACCGCGGCGTTCGGACGGTCGGTCGGGACGGTCGGCCGGACAGTCGGGTCGTGGCCGAGTCGGAACGGTCGTGGCCGGATGATTTCACGGTCGGCCGGTGGTCGGACGGGATGGAATTTGGCCGATGTTTCTCGGCCGGACGTGGGACGTCTTCCCGGCTCGGACGGACATCGGCCGTGGTACGTGAGTAGGTTGCGCGGCCGCGAGGCTTTGTTCCCGGCTCGCGCGGCATGGTCGTGCGCGGCGTGGCGTGACGGTTGTGGCTTGGCCGACCGCGGGAATGTTTCCCGGGTCGTGATGCGTGATCGGCCGATTGGACTTTGGCCGAGACTTCAGACGGACGATGGTTTTGGCCGAGCGCGGAACATTCGTTCCTCGGCCAGCCGGTCTGCGCGGTTGGGCGCTGATTCTCGATAGAGCCGTCTGGAGCAGTCTTCACTCTTTTGGCTATAACTCCTTTTCTACTCATCCAAATGAGGCCGTTCCAGTTGCGTTGGAAAGTTAACTCAATCAGAGCACGCAGGGAACTGGTCTTGATGAAATCCATTGAGTAGATCTTTTTCTAGCTCCATCCAAAGTTGATGCAGGGCATTGAACTGGTTTAGAGTCCAAATCCTCTGTTTTGCTCCATAATGCACCTTTTTACCTAAAATGACTCTTTGCACTATAAATCCATAAAAACTACCTTTTAACACAAGAATCCACTAGAAAACCATTAGAAAACCATAGTAAAATAGCATAAAAAGCATGTAAAATCACCAAGCAAAGATCAGTTTCTGTAAGGAACAAGATCTCCAACTTTCGCCAAGCCAACAATGAATCTTTCTATGAGGCGCTAGACCGATTCAAGGAGTACATTAGGGACTGCCCTAATCATGGTTTCAATGAGGGAAACCTATGGAACATCTTCTATCGTGGCATAGACCACAAGTACAAGCTTTCATTGGACACTGCAAGCAATGGAAACTTCATGACCAAGACTGTTGATGAAGCTAAGGTTCTTATTGAGAATCTTGCAGCTAGTGATTGTAACAACTGTCCTGATTATGACCGCTCAAGCCGCACCACTACTAGCTCCCCTGATTCTTTTCAAATGACTGAACTCAAGAACATGATGGCTCAAGTTCTTAAGGGACAGCTCAAGCATATCAATGCAATAGAAGGGATGAGTGATGCTAATGAAGACCCATCAAGAGAATGCATGGGAGATTTCTCTAATGAAGCCAATGAAGAAGATGTGAACTACATTGGAAACTATGGGAACAAGGGATACAATCCAAGCTATCGCCCAAACCCCAACATGTCTTATAGAAACCCCAATGTGGAGAATCCTCAAGACCAAGTGTATCCTCCAAGGTATCCACAACAACAAAGACCTCCTTACCAATCTCAAGGAAGTCAATTTCAGCCAAGGCAAGGTATGAGCAGAGATCATCATATCCGCCCAAGGAGCCATATGCTTCTTCACCAAATCAAGCTCCTCCAAACCAACAAGGTGGGAGATTTGAAGGAATCCTCCAACAGATCATGGATGGCCAGAAAGAGGAATAAAGAGATGTATGAGAAGATGGACACTTTGTTCAGCAATCTCAACACCAAGTATGATGCTGTTGCCACTCATGTGAAGAAACTAGAGACTCAAGTCACCAAACTATGGAAGCTGTTAAGAGACAGGAAGCTGAATCCAAGAAGTCCTTTTGCAACTCAGCCGCCATAGAAGAAAGATTTGAAGACCAAGTTCCAGAATGGATGCTTTCAAAACCTACTGTTGATTGCATGATTTGGCCTGAAGAGAATTACCCAGAGAGAGAGTCCAATCGAGCTAGAAAGAGAAGACTCTTCCCAAAGATTATCCCCAAGACTGATAACTCAGGAAAGTTTGTTGTGCCTTGTATCATCAAAGGTAACATTCTTGAGCAATCTTTGTGTGACACAGGAGCCAATGTGAACATCATGTCTAAGAGGATAGCTGACAAGATAGGCCTCACCAAGATACAGCCATCATCCATCTCCATCAACTATGCTGATTCATTCTCACAAACCCCCTATGGCTTTGTGCCTAATGTGATGGTGCAGATTGGAAATTGCTCTATCCCACTGATTTCAGATTGTGGAAATGAGAGAGAGTAGCCATAGACCTCTCATATTTGGAACCCCTTTCCTGTCTACTGTGGGTGCCATATTTGATTTCCCCAATCAAAGAATCTCTTTCAACAAGGTGAACAAGGGTATGTTCTTCCCTATGTGTTCAACAAAGAACTCTTTTGTTGACATGGTCCAAGAGGAGAAAGTTACTTTGAAGCCACCCCAAGAAGGAGAAACTGAAGAACAATCAAGGAAGATCCCATTCCTAAGCCCAAGCAGCTTGCCACACAAGCAAGGAGTAAGACTAAGGCCCCTACACCAAAACCGCCCAAGGGATCACCAAGATTGAAGATGAGGCCAAGCCAAGAAGAAGGTTAGAAAGCCTAGGTCTGGCCGCAACATGAAGCTTCTATTCCCAAAGGAGCTTATTGATGAGAATCTAGAAGGATTCAAGGAGAAAGTTACAAGAACTCTAAACTTTTTCCTAAGGCATTTGTGCCAAGGGACATTCATGGAGAGATTGTCTATCCAGCTGTGAATCACCCACCAGATACTCATTGCAAGGAGAAAAGACTTGGAGGATCAAAGATGCCTCTGTCTCCATCTTCTCCTGAGCGCCAAGCCTTACAGTCAAGCTAAAGACTTAAAACAAGCGCTGCATGGGAGGCAACCCATGAGGTACTTTTACTTTTCTTTCTTTAAATTTCTTAGTTTTTGTTTTGCTTTTGTGTTTTCTTTGTTTTAAGATAGGATAGAAGGAGAAAAAGGTGTGAAAACACAATCCGCGCCAAACCATTGGCCGCGGACGCGCTGATATACCTCTATTTTACATGCTTTTTATACTGTTTTAGTATTGTTTTCTAATGGTTTTTGGCAGGTTTTCTATCTAAAAAGGTAGTTTTACTGTGTTTATAGTGTCTAGAGTCTAAACAGGTGAAATGATGCATTTTGGAGCAAAACCATAGGATTTGCACTTCAAGCCGCTCCATGCACAAGCATCAACTTTAAGAGGGCCCAGAAAAAGATCTACTCAATGGATTTCATCAAGACCAGTTCCCTGCGTGCTCTGATTGAGTTAACTTTCCAACGCAACTGGAACGGCCTAATTTGGATGAGTAGAAAAGGAGTTACAACCAAAAGAGTGAAGACTGTCCAGACGGCTCTATCGAGAATCAGCGCCCAAACCGCGCAGCGGCTGGCCGAGAAACGTGTTCACGCTCGGCCAAACCAAATCCGTCCGTCTGAAGTCTCGGCCAAAGTTCAAACCATCCGGCCGACGCATCACGACCCGGGAAGCAATGTCCCGCGGTCGGCCAAGCCACGACCACTCCACGCCATGCCGCGCACGACCATGCCGCGCGAGCCGGGAAGCAAGGCCTCGCGGCCGCGCAACCTACTCACGTACCACGGCCGATGGCGCCGTCCGAGCCGGGAAGACGTCCCGCGTCCGGCCGAGAAATCGGCCAATCTTCACCGTCCGACCACAGCGGCCGACCACGAATCCGTCCGGCCACGACCGTTCCGATCGACTCGGCCATGACCCGATCATCCGGCCGATCGTCCCGACCGACCGTCCGAACGCCGCGGTCGACCCGAAGCCCGTTTTGAAGCCCGTTTCATATTTTCAAGGCCCGGCTTAACCCTAAGCCGCCTCTAAAGACCTAGCACTATATATATAGCTTTTTAGCCTCTTGTGAAAAGAGAGCCGCCCTTGTATCACGATTTCATACTTTGAGTTTTATTGCAATCATGTTTTCTTCATCTCTTTGTGTTGTTGCTTTGATTATGTCTGAGTAATTCACTAGTTAGGTTGTGAGATCTATCAAAGAGTTCATGGTTTGATAGGTTGTTAGAAATCGCATAGGGTTTACTATCGCATCTTCATCTCTACTTGAATTCATTGCTGCTTGCTTTTCTGATCAACTAGCATCAGATCTTAGGTTTCATATACTCTCCAAAAGCTTGCTATATAACCTGAACTAAGTATTTGGTGAGCAAAACTTCATAGACTGCGAAAGTTGATCTATGCGGGGTTGTGAACAATTGGGTCTTGAACGAACTATTGCTTGATTTAATCACCTAGGGACATACCAAAAGTTTAGCGACTAGGTAGATTAACAAAGGGGTCGGAGCCTCGACAGTGGAAAGATCATACAATCGTGACCTGAGTTCTAGATAGCGCAAACCCTAGCGAACCTTCTAATATCTTGTTAACCTTGAATCTCTGCGAGTTTCTCATTGCCTAGCGTTTCCCTTATTGATTTTCATAAACCGTTTAACTGCTGTTTGATTTACTTGTTACACAATCAAAACCCTAAATCATACTTGTTTTCTAGCTATATTAGACTTGCAATACTTCGAAGTGTACTTATCTGCTCCTTGTGTTCGATACCCGTTTGCTACTTTTGACCTGTGCACTTGCAGAATCAGGGATAGGAAAAGGGAAGACCTGATCCCGCGATCACGCGCAAAGGAGATTTTGGCCGAGAAAAATTTCCTACCGGGCCGACCATACCGGTTGATCCGGGAAGGAACGTCTCTCGCTCGGCCGGATGCTCTATCGCGCGACAGAAACCGTCCCCGCGACACGCACGGACAGAGAAGGAACAGGCCGCGCTCGGCCGAAATCACGTATCGGAACGGACCGACCGTTACGGTTGATCCGGGAAGCAAACGATCAGCCTCGGCCGAAATTTCTCGTCCATACGCAGGATTTGGCCGACCAAATCGCACGACCGCGACAAATTTCATCGGCCATCGACCAAACTTTTCTCGGCCAAGGTAAGTCCCCTTTTCATTAAATTCAGACCGGTTTTAACCAATCCTAAACTGATTTAAACCGATTTTCAAGCTAAATTCGAATTTGAAAAGGAAATCATATATATGAATAGGGGCCATCACTCTCCATATTTTGGACATGTGGATAGAGGAAAATATGACATGTGGCAATAATAATTTTTAGTTTAAAAAATATATAACTTTTCATTTTCTTCTCCAACCCTTCTCCAACCCAAAAGGTAATAAGTTACAAATTACAAAATCATTACATGTGAAGCTAATAAGTCACCCTTACAAATTCCTTTTGTTGTAATGGAAATTACTTAATTACTCCAACACTGTTACCCTTCCGCTTTCACTTTAAGTTATTATTGAACCTATAAATTTTCCTAATATATTGAGAAACCGATCCAGCAAAGAGCGATGACGGGGAATTACTATTCTATGTAGCGATGAGTAAAAACAGAGAGTTGAGGGCATCAAAACGTGTGGTATGATGCAAAAATATATATTTGAAAGTCAATTGCTAAACAACTAATTATAAATTAAATTGCGGGTTTTATTTGAATTCGAATCGATAATATTACATATCAAATATGAGTCACAAATCTAGAATTGTTTTATAATATTCTTTTTAAATTATAACAACATAAAAACCCGCGCGTATGCGCGGGCATTGGTCTAGTATTAATTGAAATTGTAACTTTATAACTTTACCTTTCCTTGAAAACAATAAGAACCTCGCTTTCTTCTCCAAATCCCTAAACTCCATTAGAGGAACTCTAAGAGCTTTGATTTCAAAACTTTTACTGTTCATAACTCTAAATTGGAATTTACTAGCTCTTGCAACCTTTATTCACTTTTCAATACACAAGGTATGTCTTTTAACTCTAATCCCATGTTTATACAAGATCGAAATTTTCAGTAAGTTTCTTGTTTAGTCTAAACTCTTGTCTAAACTGGAAATTGCCACTCTTATTAGTCTTGTAATGAACTTAATTAGGTGGAACCTAGGTGGTTTAGAGTTATTTAGAGTTTAATTTCACAATTGAATAGTTTTTCACAAAACTTATTGGGCATTCCAAACCCCTCATTCAAAGGTGAAATTGCTTAGTCATGCTTCAATTCATTAGTTTATCTAGTGATTACATGGATTAGAAACTCAATTTCTCTTGATTTGCTAAAAATTTCGATGAACAGTAAAATCCGAAAATAATCTTTGAAATAGTGAAATTTCCATTTTGTTTCTTTGATATGATTAAGCCTTGAGTTGTTTCATTATACCACATTATTATTGCAACTCAATTAGCTTATCTTTCTTATACATTTAATCACAAACTCATGCCTCTTCCCAAGAATTTGCTCTTGCAGGTACCCAATGGCAAGGACAAAAGGAAGTGAGGCCATGAAGAAGAAGAAGGATCCATTCATGGAACCACCAAGGAAACAAATCAAGCTAAGGAGCAGTAGCTCCAATGCAAGAGCAGCAACACCATCACCACCACATTCCATCGTTGCAATTCAAGAACATGAGGAGAGTCCAAGAAGAGAAGATGATTGGGCACTTGTAAGCTTTGTTGGAGAGCAAGTCCAATACCCAAGAAAGTACAAGAAGGCAATGAAGAAGGTGAACATAGAACCTTGTGTGAAGATGGACACCCCAACCCTTGACCTTCTCAAGATAAGAGATGATGTCACATGGTATCTAAGGAAGCTTGGCTTGAGCAAGCTCTTCAAGATAGAGTGCAGCGAGTACTCAATGCTAACCAAGGAGTTCCTCTCCACAGTCGCTCTAGCCTTCCCTAACAACAACGGAGACCAATGATATATCCATAATTTACATGATTTTACTTAGTATTTTCATGTGTTTTTAAGTATTTTCATAAAGGTTTTATGCCTTTGGAGGTAGTTTTCTTGTATTTGTTGGTTTTGGAGTCTTAACAGGGTAAACTATCAAAAAGGATGCAAAAAGGAGCAAAAGAGCCTCAAACCATGATCCATGCAAGTTTCCAAGTCAAGAGCATCATTTTATCTCCAAGTGTTAGTTCTCGCTAGGCGAGCAGAACGAAGCTTCGGAAGTTTGGCCGCGCGAAGAGGAGTTCCCGACGTCCAAAAGTCACGATCTTGATATGGAAAGATAGATACTTGAGTCATGCATCACGTCGAAGTGGAATGAAGCCATTTGGATCAACCATAAGGCCGGAACTTATTTTCTACCGAGACATGTCCGGTTAGCGAGCAAACGAAGCCCATGGAGGATTTGGAGTGTCTAATGGCCCGAGCAGCAAGCGCCAAAGGCCTTGATTGAATAAAGAAGAGGCCTGGCTAATGTTTGGAGCTTTCCTTGGTACAATGTCGGCCCATACACGACGTGGAGAAGAAGGATTAGCTCATGGGAAACTTTCCTTTTTCCGGCACTTCAATACCCTAACCGACCTACAACCTATATATGCAAGTTTTTAGCCTCTGGAGAAAGAGGAGAGGTGTGTGCGCCGTCAGAGAGAAGAGAGAGCCGTCATGGAGAGCAGAAGAAGCAGAGAGAAGAGGCGTTTCTCAAGATCTAAAGCACACACACACACAAACCTTACACTTTGTTGCTTTGTGGAACATATTGAATTTGAATTATTTGTGCTTGTTTAACCACTTGATTGCCTATGGGAGTAGAGTGATCTTAGGTTGTTAGACATTTTAATTGACATTGCGGGAGTAAGTTGATTATCCATTCATAATTCAAGTTCTTGATCATATCTATTGATTCCTTGTTTAACTATCAAAATAAACCAATCCTTGATGACCTATGAATTCTCTTGTGCCCAATGCTTTCCCTATTGATTTGATAACTTGTTTCACTTGATTTCAAGCTCACTCATTGTTATTTTCGCCACTGTTCACAGCTCTAAAACCAAACCCCCATATTTTAGTTTTAGCTAAGTTTTAATCTCATAAGCTCATAGTGCAACTTTTCTGGTCCTTGTGTTCGATAACCCATACTACCAACGATCCGTGCACTTGCGGTATCTTCTAATAGTTGGGTAAAACTTATTCCACATCAACCAACCAGCTGGTCATGGACTCCTACTCTTCAAGATAGGCGACACACATGGGCGCATCTCCATCTCAGCTCTATGCCAACTCTTTGGACTTCCAATGAGACAGCCATGACTTCAAGGAGAACTCAAGAAGGAAGCAAGCTGCCTTTGCTGATTGGACACACTTTGCCAATGAACCATTCTTGCCTTCAAGATCAAAGGTGTCTAGAATCCTCATCCAGCCATTCGCTATGTGCACCGCCTCATCTCCACCACTTTCAATGCAAACAAGAAGCCAACAAGGTCACAACTGATGAGTTCTACATCCTCACCACACCATTCATCAAGCATGAGTACAAGGCCAACCTTGGCCTTTGCTTGCCAAGACACTCATCAATGTGAGGAATCTAGCTAAAGACTTGGAAGGCAACAAGAAGCTTTGTGTGCGCTTTGGGAGACTCATCACGGCCATAGTGCAACATGTGGGGATTGACATTCCCAACTATGAGCCACTACCCAAGCCAATCCCTTTGGATCTCCATGCTCTTCAGCAAATCCACTTCCTAAACCGTTGGACTAAAGACCCAACCAAGTTTTGCTATGAGTTTCCAATTGGACCAACCAACACTTCGCTTGTCTTGCTGCCACATGAAGATATCCCAAGCCTACGCTCAGGTGTTGTCACTTTCCAGCCCAAGGAGGAAGACTTCTATGTTCCATCAAGTGAGAAACCATCATTCCCCATCCTCACCTATCGCACACTTCAGCGCACAGTCAAAGCTCAACGCCGCCACCAAGAACGCCATGTTCTCACACTGGCATGGCCGCGAACCAAGCTCTAGACCGTGTGAGCAAGCTGGAGAAGATCGTGGAGTGCCAATCTCGCTTCATCTCACGCCTAGTTCGTGTAGTTCGCCACATTGCACCGGAGAGACTCTTTCGCCCTTCTTCCACCGCTAGAGAACCATATGAGCCTGACCTTGGTGAGTTCTCACTAGACTCAGAGCTTGGTTCAGAAGGCGATGACCCCATAGAAGAGGAAGAGAGTTCTTCTCACTGCCACACATAGTCATCTCAAGTGGTACTTAGTGCAATGGACACTTACAAATCTCCATTTTCTATCCCTATCTCATTTTAATGAATTTCTTTTTTATTTTTCTTTTACTTTGAATATTACCTCTCACCTTAATGTGATTTGCTTTCACCGGGACGGTGCAAGTTAAGTCTGGGGGGAGTTTTATTGTGTTACTAATGCATTTTTCTTTCTTTTCTTATGTTTTAGTTACTTTGTTTCATGTTTTTCAAAAAAGTTTTATTGAGTCAAAAACCAGTCTGGAAGTGATGTGGAGTCAGGTTTTACCAAACTCCTAGACCTCTGCAAGTGCACAGATCGCGGAAGTATGGGTATCGAACACAAGGACTGGCTATTGAGTACACTTTGAAACTATGGATTTTGGATCAAGCTAAAACAAAAGTATGATTGAGGTTGTAATGGTGAACCGAACTAGCAAGTATAACGAGGTTGTAAACAATAAGGAGGAAAGCGCTAGGTCAATAGGGGCTAATCGCAGAGAAGCAAGCAATGATCAATGAAACAATGATAGATGAATTGATTAGGGATGTTGGGATATTAAGAACCGTCTAGAACACAGATCACGAATATAAAACCATTCCACTTTCGAGGCTCCGGCTCCTTTGTTAATCTACCTAGTCGCTAAACTTTTGGTATGTCCCTAGGTGATTAAATCAAGCTTTAGAATGAATAGGTTCTGATACAGTTCACTAGATTATAGTAGATCAACTTTCGCAGTCTAAGAAACCTAGCTTGTCAAAGAATATGTCCGGCGAATGATACAACACTGTCGAGGCTCAAATCAACCTAAGATCGGATTACTAGATGCGCGGTAAAGCAATCAGCATTAGTTAAGTGCACAAGACGAGACAAAGACTCTATATAATCCCTAGCTAATCATCGAAATCAAAGATCATGCAAGCAACTCATTGAATAGTAACCCTAGCAACCTAACTAGTGGATTACTCAGACATGATCAAAGCAAACACACATAGAGATGAAGAAAACATGATTGCAATAAAACTTAGAGTAGGAAATCGAAATACAAGGGCGGCTCTCTTTTCACAAGAGGCTAAAAAGCTATATATATAGTGCTAGGTCTTTAGAGGCGGCTTAGGGTTAAGCCGGGCTTAAAAATATGTGAAACGGGCTTCAAAACGGGCTTCGGGTCGACCGCGGCGTTGGGACGGTCGGTCGGGACGATCGGCCGGATGATCGGGTCATGGCCGCTCCGTACGATCGGAACGGTCGTGGCCGGACGGATGCGTGGTCGGCCGCTGTGGTCGGACGGATGAAGACTTGGCCGATGAATTTTCGGTCGGACGCGGGACGTAGTTGCCCGGTTTTTGATCGCGGGATCAGGTCTTCCCCTTTCCTATCCCTGATTCTGCAAGTGCACAGGTCAGAAGTAGTAAACGGGTATCGAACACGAGGACCAGATTGCACACTACAAGTTATGAGTTTGAGACAAGCTAGGGCAAAAGTATAAGTTGGTTGAGTGCAGAGAAAGTAAAGCATGCAAGTAATAAAGAAAGTGAGATCAATAGGAGAGAAAGGCTAAGCAATAGGATAGTCTTGAGATAAGCAATTCAAGAAGCATGAAATCAATCAATTAGGGTTACCGCACTTAGGTGCTAATCTAGAACTTGAAACACTATGGTATGATCATTCCACTGTCGAGGCTCCGACCCCTTTGTTAATCTACCTAGTCGCTAAACTTTTGGTATGTCCCTAGGTGATTAAATCAAGCATTAGTTCGATCAAGATCAATTGTTCACAACCTACAAGTAGATCAACTGTCGCAGTCTAAAAGAGATTGCCCACCAAATACTAGTTCAGGCGAATGATACAGCACTGTCGAGGCTCAAATCAACCTAAAGGCATATGCTAATTGGCCAGATTAACAACAAGCATTAAGTATAAGCAAAGATGGAGATTATAAGTAAAACCCTAATTGTGATCAATCATCAAGCATACATGAATGCTATCCTTTGACTTCCTATCACTTAACAAGTAAACTACTCAGACATAGAGAAGGAACACGAATTCATATTCATAAGAACAGAGATTCGAATCCTCTCTAGAAAGAGTAACAAGCAAGAACAAAGTAAAAGCAAGCAAAACTTTATTAAGATGTAAAATAGATTGTGGTCTCTCTCCTTCTTGAGTTACAAGGCTAAAAAGAAGTATTTATAATGCTCTAAGTATGAAAGGCGGCTAAACCTAATCTAGCTAGGTCGGCGCCGGCTTTGGGCTTGAATTGTGCGGATTGGGCTTCAAAAACGGCTTCGGGTCGACCGCGGCGTTCGGACGGTCGGTCGGGACGATCGGCCGGACAGTCGGGTCTTGGGCCGAGTCGGAACGGTCGTGGCCGGATGTTTCATGGTCGGCCGGCTTGGTCGGCGGATGAGATTTGGCCGATGGTTTCTCGGCCGGACGTGGGACGTTCTTCCCGGCTCGGACGGATGCATCGGCCGTGGTACGCGAACGGGTTGCGCGGCCGCGAGGCTTTGTTTCCCGGCTCGCGCGGCGTGGTCGTGCGCGGCGTGGCGTGACGTTTGGCTTGGCCGACCGCGGGACAATGTTTCCCGGGTCGTGTTGCGTGATCGGCCGACGGTTTGAACTTTGGCCGAGACTTCAGTCGGACGGACACGGTTTTGGCCGAGCGCGGAACATTCGTTCCTCGGCCAGCCGGACTGCGCGTTCGGCGCTGATTCTCGATATGGCCGTCTGGAGCAGTCTTCACTCTTTTGGCTATAACTCCTTTTCTACTCATCCAAATGAAGCCATTCCAGTTGCGTTGGAAAGTTAACTCAATCAGAGCACGCAGGGAACTGGTCTTGATGAAATCCATTGAGTAGATCTTTTTCTAGCTCCATCCAAAGTTGATGCAGGGGCATTGAACTGGTTTAGAGTCCAAATCTCCTGTTTTGCTCCATAATGCACCTTTTTACCTAAAATGACTCTTTGCACTATAAATCCATAAAAACTACCTTTTAACACAAGAATCCACTAGAAAACCATTAGAAAACCATAGTAAAATAGCATAAAAAGTAGGTAAAATAGAGGTATATCAGTTTTCACACCTTTTTCTCCTTCTATCCTATCTTAAAACAAAGAAAACACAAAAGCAAAACAAAAACTAAGAAAATTAAAGAAAGAAAAGTAAAAGTACCTCATGGGTTGCCTCCCATGCAGCGCTTGTTTTAAGTCTTTAGCTTGACTGTAAGGCTTGGCGCTCAGGAGAAGATGGAGACAAGAGGCATCTTTGATCCTCCAAGTCTTTTCTCCTTGCAATGAGTATCTGGTGGGTGATTCACAGCTGGATAGACAATCTCTCCATGAATGTCCCTTGGCACTACTGCCTTAGGAAAAAGCTTTAGAGTTCTTGTCACTTTCTCCTTGAATCCTTCTAGATTCTCATCAATAAGCTCCTTTGGGAATAGAAGCTTCATGTTGCGGCCAGACCTAGGTTTTCTAACCTTCTTCTTGGCTTGGCCTCATCTTCAATCTTGGTTGATCCCTTGGGCGGTTTTGGTGTAGGGGCCTTAGTCTTACTCCTTGCTTGTTTGGCAAGCTGCTTGGGCTTAGGAATGGGATCTTCCTTGATTGTTTCTTCAGTTTCTCCTTCTTGGGGTGGCTTCAAAGTAACTTTCTCCTCTTGGACCATGTCAACAAAAGAGTTCTTTGTTGAACACATAGGGAAGAACATACCCTTGTTCACCTTGTTGAAAGAGATTCTTTGATTGGGGAAATCAAATATGGCACCCACAGTAGACAGGAAAGGGGTTCCAAATATGAGAGGTCTATGGCTACTCTCTCTCATTTCCACAATCTGGAAATCAGTAGGGATAGAGCAATTTCCAATCTGCACCATCACATTAGGCACAAAGCCATAGGGGTTTGTGAGAATGAATCAGCATAGTTGATGGAGATGGATGATGGCTCTATCTTGGTGAGGCCTATCTTGTCAGCTATCCTCTTAGACATGATGTTCACATTGGCTCCTGTGTCACACAAAGATTGCTCAAGAATGTTACCTTTGATGATACAAGGCACAACAAACTTTCCTGAGTTATCTGTCTTGGGGATAATCTTTGGGAAGAGTCTTCTCTTTCTAGCTCGATTGGACTCTCTCTCTGGGTAATTCTCTTCAGGCCAAATCATGCAATCAACAGTAGGTTTTGAAAGCATCCATTCTGGAACTTGGTCTTCAAATCTTTCTTCTATGGCGGCTGAGTTGCAAAAGGACTTCTTGGATTCAGCTTCCTGTCTCTTAACAGCTTCCATAGTTTGAGTGACTTGAGTCTCTAGTTTCTTCACATGAGTGGCAACAGCATCATACTTGGTGTTGAGATTGCTGAACAAAGTGTCCATCTTCTCATACATCTCTTTGTTTCTCTTCTGGCCATCCATGATCTGTTGGAGGATTCCTTCAAATCTCCCACCTTGTTGGTTTGGAGGAGCTTGATTTGGTGAAGAAGCATATGGCTCCTTGGGCGGATATGATGATCTCTGCTCATATCCTTGCCTTGGCTGAAATTGACTTCCTTGAGATTGGTAAGGAGGTCTTTGTTGTTGTGGATACCTTGGAGGATACACTTGGTCTTGAGGATTCTCCACATTGGGGTTTCTATAAGACATGTTGGGGTTTGGGCGATAGCTTGGATTGTATCCCTTGTTCCCATAGTTTCCAATGTAGTTCACATCTTCTTCATTGGCTTCATTAGAGAAATCTCCCATGCATTCTCTTGATGGGTCTTCATTAGCATCACTCATCCCTTCTATTGCATTGATATGCTTGAGCTGTCCCTTAAGAACTTGAGCCATCATGTTCTTGAGTTCAGTCATTTGAAAAGAATCAGGGGAGCTAGTAGTGGTGCGGCTTGAGCGGTCATAATCAGGACAGTTGTTACAATCACTAGCTGCAAGATTCTCAATAAGAACCTTAGCTTCATCAACAGTCTTGGTCATGAAGTTTCCATTGCTTGCAGTGTCCAATGAAAGCTTGTACTTGTGGTCTATGCCACGATAGAAGATGTTCCATAGGTTTCCCTCATTGAAACCATGATTAGGGCAGTCCCTAATGTACTCCTTGAATCGGTCTAGCGCCTCATAGAAAGATTCATTGTTGGCTTGGCGAAAGTTGGAGATCTTGTTCCTCAGAAATTGATCTTTGCTTGGTGTAGAAGTGGTTGATGAAAGCAGCCTTGTACTCATCCCAAGTGGTAATGGAGTGAGCTGGCAGAGACTTCAACCATCTTGAAGCTTTGTCGCCAAGAGAGAATGAAAAGAGCTTGCACTTAAGGTAGTCAGCAGAGACTCCATTGGATCTTGTAGTGCTGCAAATTTCTTCAAAGTTTTCTATGTGATCAAGAGGATGCTCAGCTGGAAGGCCATTGAATTGGTTCTGTCTAACCAATGCTATGATCTGAGGCTTGATCTCATAGTCATTCCTTGCAGGAAGTGGTGGATGGATAGGGTTTCTATCCATGAAGAAAGCATCGGCAGAGTCATAGTCTCCGATTGTAGGTGCTCCAGCTTGAGGTTGTGCATTCACATCTCCAGCAGGGTCTTGTGGATTAGGAGGAGGAGGAGGTGGATCTCGTCCTTCTTCTTGAGCGCGCGCCACTTCAGCGGCGTGAGCGCGAGCTGCTTCGTCGGCCATCTCTTGGGCTTTTTGCTTCCTAAGTTGCTTCTCAAGCTTGTCTATCTCTGGATGTTCAACTAGGTTGTCCTTGTTGGACCTCCTAGTCATGCACCTGAAAAGAGTCTTGGAAACAAGTTAAATCAAAAGGGAAAAACAAAAACAAAAGCAAAAATCAAAGAAAAGAAATCAAAAACTAAAAATTCAAAAGCAAAAGAAAAGCAAAACAGGAAAAGGTTCTAGACTAGATCCTAGTCGAGTTCCAAAGGTACTGCTGCAGTCCCCGGCAACGGCGCCAAAAACTTGATGTGGAGTCAGGTTTTACCAAACTCCTAGACCTCTGCAAGTGCACAGATCGCGGAAGTATGGGTATCGAACACAAGGACTGGCTATTGAGTACACTTTGAAACTATGGATTTTGGATCAAGCTAAAACAAAAGTATGATTGAGGTTGTAATGGTGAACCGAACTAGCAAGTATAACGAGGTTGTAAACAATAAAGGAAAAGCGCTAGGTCATAGGGGCTATCGCAGAGAAGCAAGCAATGATCAATGAAACAATGATAGATGAATTGATTAGGGATATTGGGATATTAAGAACCATCTAGAACACAGATCACGAATATAAAACCATTCCACTTTCGAGGCTCCGGCTCCTTTGTTAATCTACCTAGTCGCTAAACTTTTGGTATGTCCCTAGGTGATTAAATCAAGCTTTAGAATGAATAGGTTCTGATACAGTTCACTAGATATAGTAGATCAACTTTCGCAGTCTAAGAAACCTAGCTTGTCAAAGAATATGTCCGGCGAATGATACAGCACTGTCGAGGCTCAAATCAACCTAAGATCGGATTACTAGATGCGCGGTAAAGCAATCAGCATTAGTTAAGTGCACAAGACGAGACAAAGACTCTAATATAATCCCTAGCTAATCATTGAAATCAAAGATCATGCAAGCAACTCATTGAATAGTAACCCTAGCAACCTAACTAGTGGATTACTCAGACATGATCAAAGCAAACACACATAGAGATGAAGAAAACATGATTGCAATAAAACTTAGAGTAGGAAATCGAAATACAAGGGCGGCTCTCTTTTCACAAGAGGCTAAAAAGCTATATATATAGTGCTAGGTCTTTAGAGGCGGCTTAGGGTTAAGCCGGGCTTGAAAAATATGGGCTTGAAACGGGCTTCGGGTCGACCGCGGCGTTGGGACGGTCGGTCGGGACGATCGGCCGGACATCGGGTCATGGCCCAGAGTCGGAACGGTCGTGGCCGGACGGATTCGTGGTCGGCCGCGTGGTCGGACGGATGAAGATTGGCCGATGAATTCTCGGCCGGACGCGGGACATGCATCGGCCGTGGTACGCGAGACAGGTTGCGCGGCCGCGAGGCTTGTTTCCCGGCTCGCGCGGCATTGGCGTGAGCGGTTGTGGCGTGGCCGACCGCGGGCTGTTTCCCGGGTCGTGATGCGTGATCGGCCGACGGTTTTGGACTTTGGCCGAGACTTCAGACGGACGGAGATTTGGCCGAGCGGAACATTCGTTCCTCGGCCAGCCGGACTGCGCGGTTTGGGCGCTGTTCTCGATAGAGCCGTCTGGACAGTCTTCACTCTTTTGGTTGTAACTCCTTTTCTACTCATCCAAATGAGGCCATTCCAGTTGCGTTGGAAAGTTAACTCAATCAGAGCACGCAGGGAACTGGTCTTGATGAAATCCATTGAGTAGATCTTTTTCTGGGCCCTCTTAAAGTTGGTGCTTGTGCATGGAGCGGCTTGAAGTGCAAATCCTATGGTTTTGCTCCAAAATGCATCATTTCACCTGTTTAGACTCTAGACACTATAAACACAGTAAAACTACCTTTTTAGATAGAAAACCTGCCAAAAACCATTAGAAAACAATACTAAAACAGTATAAAAAGCATGTAAATTAGAGGTATATCAGGAAGTTATGAACTTGCTTTGAGAATTGATAGTGTTGTGCTAACAATCCATGACCCTAGAGCAGAAATCAGCTAAAGGCACAAGCCTAACAGAAGCTCTTACAGTGGATCGACATGCTAGCTCAGCAAAATTTCTAAGGTAACCAAGCAATCTAGAGTTAACCTCACCCTTAATCAATCTTAATACTCTTGTCAAGGGGATTGGCATACATGTCGACAGTTCCTTGCTTGATTTTCAATGAGATTTGTCTAACCTTTAAAGAGTTCTCCTCTCTCTCCCATCCCAAATGGTAAGTAATGTTTATGAGAAAAGCTCAAAGAGCACAAGGAAAACAAGTAAGCATGAGGAATGCATATGTCTGTACCTTCATGTCTTATGGAATACCTTAGTCAAACAAGGAACAAGCTAAAGACTTATCCTGTGGTTGAAAGAAGGGTCAATAGAAAAAATAAAATGATACCCTAGAAAAGTAGGGAGAAATTGACCTTTCAAAGTTCTGATGTGAGAAAGAGAGAGGAAAAGAACTCATTGCACTTCAAAGACAATCTTGGAGAAGATCAAGTGGGTAAGAACAAGTTCAATTGATCGATGTTCCCTTGATAAAGAACTCACGCTTTAAATTTATGCAAGAGGTTAGCAATAGAGAGTTTGGATTGCTGGATGAGACTAGTTGGGTTGGTATTGTTCGCTAAACTTGCAGGGTGTATGTGAAGCTAACCTTATGTTGCCTATGTTCTTAGTGGAATACAGGAAAGGAACCTTTCACAGGATATTCAAAAGAGCAAGGGAGTTCCACGTTTTCAAACCTCTTTCACGGATTTAGATTCTTTTGCTTGGGGACAAGCAAAGATCTAAGTCTGGGGGAGTTGATATACCTCTATTTTACATGCTTTTTATACTATTTTAGTATTGTTTTCTAATGGTTTTTGGCAGGTTTTCTATCTAAAAAGGTAGTTTTACTGTGTTTATAGTGTCTAGAGTCTAAACAGGTGAAATGATGCATTTTGGAGCAAAACCATAGGATTTGCACTTCAAGCCGCTCCATGCACAAGCATCAACTTTAAGAGGGCCCAGAAAAAGATCTACTCAATGGATTTCATCAAGACCAGTTCCCTGCGTGCTCTGATTGAGTTAACTTTCCAACGCAACTGGAACGGCCTCATTTGGATGAGTAGAAAAGGAGTTACAACCAAAAGAGTGAAGACTGTCCAGACGGCTCTATCGAGAACAGCGCCAAGCGCAGCGGCTGGCCGAGAAACGAATGTTTCGCGCTCGGCCAAAATCGTATCCGTCCGTCTGAAGTCTCGGCCAAAGTTCAAACCACCGGCCGACGCATCACGACCCGGGAAGCAATGTCCCGTGGTCGGGCAAGCCAGGACCACTCAATGCCATGCCGCACGATTTTGATTTAGTTTGTTTAGCGCGGTCGGCTTTTGCTTTTCCCTTTTGATTTAGTTTGTTTCCTAGAATCTTGATGTTGAGTCAAGTTTAGACCTCTGCAAGTACACAGATCGCGGAAGTATGGGTATCGAACACAAGGACTGGCTATTGAGTACACTTTGAAACTATGGATTTTGGATCAAGCTAAAACAAAAGTATGATTGGAGGTTGTAATAGTGAACAGAACTAGCAAATAAACGAGGTTGTAAATTGATGTACTTGCATTTTACATAGTTTTAGCACATCTTTTATGCATCTTTTGCATAGTTTTAGCTTCCATTTGCATCATATCTTGTTCCTTTTCTCTTCTTATGCATTCATGTTAGTTTTAGGTTGCATTTGCATACATATGCATGTTTGGTCCTTTGAAATAGGTCTTTTGGAGCATTCTGGAGCATATGGGACATGAGGAGCATGGAGGGACTTGGCACATGGACGCAGCTCAACTGGATACGCAAAGGAAGAAGGGAGAAGCCATCTTGAAGACCAGCTCGACCGTCTACTCGACCAACCGGCCAAGCTTCAACTCGATCGAGCTGAGAAGTCAACAGTCAAACCCGAAAAATGTTGCTTCCCCCTTGACTTTCCTTTGACCCTAAACCTAATCCTCTTTGTATTTAAAGGCTCTAAGCCACGAAAAAACCACCAAGCTTTAGATTATTTTGTTTTAGTTTCTTTAATTTATTGTCTTTTACTTTTTAGACCTAATCCCATCTTTGTGTTCTTGAAGCTCTTGCTTCTTGAATCTTAGATCCTGGATAATCTCTTTGTATTTGCACTTGCTTATTTCAATAAAAGTTGTTTAATTTCATCTCCTCTTTCTTATGATGTCTCTTTTATTGCATTTGCTTGTGTTTACATTCATGTGTAGTGAGTAGTTACCCATTAGGGTTTGAGATGGGATAGATTAGAGGTTTCATATGCTTAATCCTTCTAGCTTATGGTCTTAATCTAGATTCTCTCTCTTTTGGATAGATCTTAAGGCTACATGACCACTACCCCTGGCTTGTAAGTCCTTAGGCGACTCCCCACACGAAAGTGATGGCATTCGCTGGAAAAGATCCACTAAGAGCTCCAATATCTCTTGCTCTAGACAATAGAGGTCTAAGGGGTTGGATGGATTAGTTTGGGCAATGATCCTATAGCCTCCAAGGTTTGATTCTCACTGGCTAACCCCCTGTTTCTGAGATCATTCCTTGGTTGATAGCCTCACCTTGGGAAAGGGTTGGCTAGGCATTGAGAAGCCCAATATCAAGAGAAGCCTTGATACAAGGAGTTTTAAGAGCTAGATTGATTAAGTGTAGATTCCTTTGATTGCAAAACCCTGTCTTGAACCCTAATTCTCTCTTATCTTGTTAAAGTCGTCACCTTTAGCTTTTTTGTCTCAACTCGTCCCTAAACTCGATCGAGCTGGTACTTTGTTCTGACTCGACTCGAGTCTTGGTCGAGCTGTACTTCACTGCTTTATTTACTTTTGCATTTCATTTCTTTTCATTTAGGTTGTTAGTGTTACCAAATCTATTACTGCTTGCTTGACTTCTGGTTGTTTCATATTCTCATAGAGTGACAAGTTTCCCATTTTGGATTGATAACCCTTTGTACTACATGACTATCATGGTTAAAGGGAATTGTTGACTGTGTTTGTGTTTGCATCTTACCACCTCATCATATACCACTGATTGCATTCCACTCATCTCATTTCATATCTTTTCACATCCACACACAAATCCATATCATCATAAGTCAATAAGGAAAGAAGCGCTAGGTCAAGGGGCTAATCGCAGAGAAGCAAGCAATGATCAATGAAACAATGATAGATGAATTGATTAGGGATATTGGGATATTAAGAACCGTCTAGAACACAGATCACGAATATAAAACCATTCCACTTTCGAGGCTCCGGCTCCTTTGTTAATCTACCTAGTCGCTAAACTTTTGGTATGTCCCTAGGTGATTAAATCAAGCTTTAGAATGAATAGGTTCTGATACAGTTCACTAGATTATAGTAGATCAACTTTCGCAGTCTAAGAAACCTAGCTTGCCAAAGAATATGTCCGGCGAATGATACAACACTGTCGAGGCTCAAATCAACCTAAGATCGGATTACTAGATGCGCGGTAAAGCAATCAGCATTAGTTAAGTGCACAAGACGAGACAAAGACTCTATGATAATCCCTAGCTAAACATCGAAATCAAAGATCATGCAAGCAACTCATTGATAGTAACCCTAGCAACCTAACTAGTGGATTACTCAGACATGATCAAAGCAATAACACATAAAGATGAAGAAAACATGATTGCAATAAAACTCAAAGTAGAAATCGTGATACAAGGGCGGCTCTCTTTCTCAAGAGGCTAAAAAGTTGTATATATAGTGCTAGGTCTTCAGAGGCGGCTTAGGGTTAAGCCGGGCCGTGAAAATACGTGAAACGGGCTTCAAAACGGGCTTCGGGTCGACCGCGGCGTTCGGACGGTCGGTCGGGACGATCGGCCGGATCGGGTCATGGTCGCTATCGGCACGATCGGAACGGTCGTGGCCGGACGATTCGTGGTCGGCCGCTGTGGTCGGACGGATGAAGATTGGCCGATGTTTCTTGGCCGGACGCGGGACGGCTTCCGGCTCGGACGGCGCATCGGCCGTGGTACGTAAGTTGCGCGGCCGCAAGGCGTTCTTCCCGGCTCGCGCGGCATGGTCGTGCGCGGCATCGGCTTGAGTGGTTGTGGCTGGCCGACCGCGGGACGTTGCTTCCCGGGTCGTGATGCGTGTGCTCGGCCGGGCTTGGCGGGACGGACGTGTTTGATTTGGCCGATCGCGTGAACATTCGTTTCTCGGCCGGCCGCTGCTGCGGCTTGGCCGCGGTTCTCGATAGAGCCGTCTGGACAGTCTTCACTCTTTTGGCCATAACTCCTTTTCTACTCATCCAAATGAGGCCGTTCCAGTTGCGTTGGAAAGTTAACTCACTCAGAGCACGCAGGGAACTGGTCTTGATGAAATCCATTGAGTAGATCTTTTTCTGGGCCCTCTTAAAGTTGATGCTTGTGCATGGAGCGGCTTGAAGTGCAAATCCTATGGTTTTGCTCCAAAATGCATCATTTCACCTGTTTAGACTCTAGACACTATAAACAGTAAAACTACCTTTTTAGATAGAAAACCTGCCAAAAACCATTAGAAAACAATACTAAAACAGTATAAAAAGCATGTAAAATAGAGGTATATCAATACTCGATATCCACTTCTTGATTTTTCTGGAGTTCTTGAGTGTATGAGAAAAATCTTGGAGGAATATGTTTTGTTCTGTCACTCTTGATATAACCTTCTTTGAGTTGTGTGACACATGCAGAATTGTCTTCAAATATTTTTGTTGGCTCTTTCTCTGTGATATCTTCCACTTGATTCTTGTATGTTGAGTCATAGACCGAAACCACACACACTCTCTACATGCTTCATGGAGAGCAATAGTTTCTGCATAATTTGAAGACGTTGCAACCAAAGTTTGCTTTTGCGAACGCCAGGAGACCGCAGTTCCACCAATTGTGAAAACATAACCTGTTTGTGATCTAGCTTTGTGTGGATCTGATAGATATCCTGCATCAGCAAAACCAACTAAAACACATTTTGAGTTCTTAGGATAAAATAATCCTAAATCAATTGATCCTTGAAGATAACGAAAAATATGTTTTATTCCATTCCAATGTCTGCGCGTAGGGGACGAACTATATCTTGCAAGCAGATTAGTAGCAAAGCTATATCTGGTCTAGTGCAATTTGCAAGATACATAAGTCCACCAATAGCGCTCATGTAAGGTACTTCAGGACCTAACACTTCTTCGTTATCCTCACAAGGACGGAATGGATCCTTTTCAACATCAAGAGATCTATTAACCATTGGAGTACTCAAAGGAGTCGCTTTGTCCATATAAAAACGTTTTAACACTCTTTTAGTGTAATTTGACTGATGCACAAATATACCATCTTGGAAATGCTCTATCTGGAGCCCAAGACAAAACTTTGTCTTTCCAAGATCTTTCATTTCAAACTCTTCTTTCATATGAGTTCTTGCATCATCAATTTCCTTTTGAGTTCCAATCATGTTCAGGTCATCTACATATACAGCAATAATCACAAATCCTGACGAGGATTTCTTAATGAATACGCAAGGGCATATCGCATTGTTGACGTAATCTTTACTCAACAAATATTCACTTAAGCGATTATACCACATGCGACCGGACTGTTTTAGTCCATAAAGTGATCGCTGTAATCTGACCGAAAGATCTCCTTACCACAAGGTTCTTCTATAACCTTTTCTCCCAAATTCCGTTTCTTTCGGGGATTTTTATCTTTAGAGCCCATTGGCCTCCCCCTCTTTAACTGGACTTTGGGTGCATTTGCTATGCTTCCATCATTTTGTTCTCTAGGAACATCTATTCTTGATGGAACGTTTGCAGCGGGTATATATGATTTCGTCACTCTTTATGTATTTGTGAACGCATCTGGTAATTAATTTGCCATATTTTGTAAATGTACAATTTTCTGAACTTCCAATTCGCGTTGTTTTGTCGGGGATCAAAGTATAACAAATTTGGTATACACCATCTGAGGTCTTTTGGAACCTCTTTAATTCCTCCCCCTAATGCTGGAAATTCATCTTCATTAAAATGGCAATCGGCAAAACGTGCCTTGAACATATCACCAGTTTGAGGTTCAAGATACCGAATAATACTCGGTGATGTATACCCAACGTATATTCCCAATCTCCTTTGTGGCCCCATTTTTGTTCTTTGTGGCGGTGCTATTGGAACATAAACCGCACAACCAAAAACACGGAGATGGGATACATTTGGCTCCTGACCAGATGCTAATTGCAATGGGGAATATATATTATATGCACTTGTTCGTATTTGGAGCAACACTGCAGCATGCAAAATAGCATGACCCCATATTGAAATTGGGAGTTTTGTTCTCATTATTAACGGTCTTGCAATCAGTTGCAACCGTTT